ACTTCAAGCTTAGCAAGGAAGATTCTCCAAAGAACAAGGAGGACTGTGCTCAAATGCAGAAGATTCCATACGCATCGGCAATTGGCAGCATCATGTACGCTATGGTTTGCACGACGCCAGACATTGCACATGCGGTGGGAGTAGTGAGCAGATACATGGGAGACCCCGGGAAAGAACACTGGGAAGCTGTGAACTGGATCATGAGGTATTTGAAAGGTACTGCTTCTAATGCTTTGTGTTTTGATGGAAAGAATGTAGAGCTGCTGAGACATGTTGATGCAGATCTGGCATCAAATGACTCGGATGGATCAAGAAGCACCACAGAGTATGTTTTTACATTTGGCGAGACAGCAGTATCTTGGCTTTCGCAGCTGCAGAAGATTGTTGCATTATCTACTACAGAGGCAGAATATGTGGCCATTACGGAGGCAAGTAAGGAGATGGTGTGGCTTCAGAATTTACTTGGGGAACTTGGGAAGGAGTACAAGAATAGCATTCTTTACAGTGACAGTCAAAGTGCTATCTTCTTGGCAAACAACTCACATTTTCACAAGAGAACCAAACACATTCGGTTGAAGTATCACTACATCCGTCATCTTCTAAAGATAGAGGCATTGCAGCTTGTGAAGATCCGTGGGAGTGAGAATCCAGCAGACATGTTTACTAAGGTGGTAATCTTGGAGAAGTTGAAGCTTTGCATAACTTCAATTGGCCTTGGTACTTGAAGTTGAAGGCCGGCGCTACCATGCTAACAAGGGAGGATTTGAAGAAGACAGTCTCAAGGTGGGAGATTGTAACGTGTTAGAGACAATTTCTTAATTTATTCTTGGAAACATGTTTCTTAATTTATATTTGGAAACACATCCTAATTTAATTAGGGGTTATGTTGCTTTGGGAACAAGACACTGCATCTCTATAAATACCACTCTCCTCTCTTGTAATCTGCATCCAGAAAATATTAATAACATTCCTGGCTTGGTAGCGCCCCCAGACGTAGTCCTCTGTGGCGAACTGGGTTACCAAATTTCGTGTGTTCTTTAATTGTTCTTCGTGTTTGTGAGTTAAATTCCTAATAAGAAATTCATTTATCCTTACAAATTAAAATCATTGGTTGATTGTGGAATTCTAGAGTTATGAGAAAGGGAATTGAATCAAAAGACCAAATTCATTACAAGTATGTTATTTTAATCTTTTCAATTTATTTCGAAAGTTCTGAAATCAGTTTTTTAATTAGTGATTGAATGTCTTAATGTAATGTACATATTACTATTTTCTTACTCTGCGTGTTCAATTTTAAATAATTACTTATGACAAGATTCAAAAGTGCGTACATACACATTTTTAGATGTGGATGTTGTGTCTAATACAAATCAAATATGAGATATAAATGTTTCAGATATGATTGTGTATGGAGGGCTGATGATAAATTAAAAATAATGAAATACATTTATAATTTATACCTGTAATCTGCAACTGCTTTTGATACCATCGAGCACTATGACCAGATTCCAGCGACTTAAATATATGAACAAGACGGAACACGTGATAGTGTGATAACATGCATTTCATTATCTTCGCTTTTGATATTATACTGGCTGATTCAATTTGGTTATAATCAACTTCATATCTTATTAAAAAGAATGAGTAATGTACAAATTTAATTGAGATAGATTAGTAGATTAGAATGTACTATATATATATATATATATCTTTTTAATTACAATGAGTATAATAGTCCACAATGGTGGGGGCGGGGTTGTATATTGGGGTGAGCCGATACAAAGTACTCCATGTATTTTTAGAATTTTTTACACAATTTTTTTTCCTTAATAATTTAAACAAAATTGGAATTTGGGGTAAGGCGGGATCTAGCTTGCACCTCCACTATGCCATGATAGTAGTAATGATATCAATTATGTTTGTGTTCAATTTTACACTATTCAAAGTCATTGCGTTATACCGATATTAATGGTATAGTAGTAGCGTATGTTATCTATATATTGTACCTCAACAATATTATATGAAAACTTATGTTAATTTGAGGAGCCATATTATTTGGATTACCAATAGAAAAATTTAAAATATATTTGTTTATATATAATTATCTTCTTCATGAGATTTGTTTGCCTCTAGTCGAAGTTTTGTCATTCCCTCTATCTTAATATTAACCTATGTGTGGGTTTTGTATATGAAAACAATCAAAATGGTCTGATTGAAGTTGTGGACATAGAGAGAGAAAAATAATACGGAGTATGAATTACGAAAATTTTTCCATAAGAGAAAAAAATTGAGATGAATAAAAATTAAAGTATGAAAATGATTTCGAGAGGGAGGTGCTGTAAAAAAGAACGGATGCATTGAGTTTAATTTAAAGGATATCTTAAAAGATCTATAGATCACTTATATGTAGTATGATGTCCACCGCACTATAACCGATGACAACTTTTTTAGGCTCTTGCGCGTATTTCTCATGACTTATCCGGACCCGGCGTAAGTACTAATTACAATATACAGTCTAAACATGAGTTATCGTTTGTCCGCGATGACCTGATTTTTAAACGTGCATAAAGAGCTATTTTTTGTATGTGAATATAAACACGTTTATGAACATGCTATTCATAGATTAAAAAATATATGTTCATAGACATCTACATGGGATTCGTACAAAAAGTGTATACAAATAGTTTTTTCATTTTTTAAAGAGACTTATCCCTCACATCCATAAATATGCTGAATTACGAGAAATTTCTAACTTGACTCAATTAGATTGTGGCATAATTCACTACATAAATCAAAAGATGAGTATTTGATAAATTGTTAGGTGATTAAACACAAAAAAAAAGAGATAACCAATTGAGCTCTTAATTAACTTGATCTGTAATATGTGAGATAGACTTAGGAACATAGCTGTGGGACTTATGTGAGATAGACATAGGAATAGAGCCTGTCCTAAGAAAATGAGGACCTTGTTCAACAATACAAATTAGGCCTCTTTCGGACACATCTCAAAACAAAAAGTTACTACTTAATAACCTAATAATTTCAATAATTTTGTTAAATTAAGTTATAAAATTAAAATCTAATAAATTTATAATATGGATTTGATAATTTGTTTAAGTTCAATTATAAATAATCCATATTTAAAGGAGAATAAGATAATAATCACAATATATAAGAGCAGGGGCGGAGCTACTGGGGGGTCAGGGTGGTCAGCCGACCCCGCTGAAAATTTAAGATTGTAGAGCTCTGAAATATCTTCGATTTGATATATTATGACTCTCGTAACTCATTACGAGTAAAAAGTTATAACTTCTGCAAAATCAGCACTATTTAAGTTTGAAATTAGTAAAATTGTGATGCGTAATATTAATTATATTCACAAAATAGCGTGTAATTCACTCGTTACTTACATGACATGACTTAGGGACAGAGCAAATACAACATATCTTACTGCTACGAGTGCATACTCAATAAATGATTCTTTTCTAGTAAGAAATCTTGATACTAAACCGAGTAAGATCGAAGAGAACCATAGAGTACTAGGGTAAGACAATGAGTCTCATCCGAAGTACTCAACTCAACCCGTATAAAATATGTTTATAATATATGTGACATATATGAAGTATATTAACCACATATACTTTATTAGTTTCATTTAAATTATCATTTATCTAAGCTACATTCAATTCGGGTATTGTCTAAAAGTAATCTACCGTTTTGATTCTATGTAAATTTGATTTCGACCCCGCAAAGTCATTTTCTGGCTCCGCCCCTGTATAAGAGTAAGGGGGTGTTTGGAAATGATTATAATGTTTTTTTAAACTGAAAGAAAAATTAGAATCAAATTTTTAGAAGTTGGTCTCTGATCCCCTAACTTCTAAAAAACTGTTTTAGGAGCAATTCGGAGCACTTAGAAGTACTTCTACACTTACACCCAAACTTTCTAATATCTGTTTCTTCTCGGGACAGAGCTGAAACAATTTTAAGAGGTGGATATAAACACCCCATACATGAGTTACTGATATAATTTTGAGACTTATCTTCGATGCATCGGTTGTAGTATGTAAACTCATTCAATTAAAATTAGTAAGTGACCTATTAACATTAATACTGCTAAAAAATTAGGCTTTCCATTTTTTAGAGTCTTGGACGGTTGGGCTCCCCGCCGCCCTTGGTTTGGACTGACTCTAAATTGCTATTCACAACCACTTAATTTAATAAAAATCAATAGAAATAATTCAAATATCTAAATTATCCCTATTAATAATTCAATTAAGACACCAGGCACAAGTCTGAAGAAAACAAAGCATGGAAGGAGACGAGTTTGCTCACTCTGAATAGTCAACAAGATGTAAGCAGCCAAGCACCGAAGGAGATGAGTTGAGTTGAAAGATCTGGTTTTGTGGGGCCATGACATATTATGGAGTAAAGGAATCATGGAGTAAGCTATGCACGTAACGTTCAACACCCTCACCTTACATGAACACCTTAGGATGTTTTTCAGTCTCAGACCGGACCAGATTTAAATATACCTGACCAGACCAGACTTGACTTTCGTAGTTACTCCCTCCGTCCCGTTTATATTGTCCCGGAAGAGGGTGACACGGTTATTAAGAAAAGTGGGTTTGTGTGGTTGATATTAATTGATAAAGTAAGAATAAAGTAAGAATGATTTAGAACCACACAAACTTTGCCAAATATGGTATGGGACAATATAAGTGGGACTTCCCGAAAAGGTAAAACGGGACAAAATAAATGGGACGGAGGGAGTATAAAATACACAGAGACCAGACGTTTACCAGATCAGACCTGACCAGTTCAGACTAGATCGGAACAGACTTAAATAGACCAGATCAGACTTAAACAGACCAGACCAGACTAGCGAATTGCAATGCAAGTAAAAACATCATTATTCTCAAGCTGCCGCTGTGAATTGTGGTTGTTCATTTGTGTGAAGATGGGCAATTCTCACTTATGATAGAAGTAAGTATTTGGCTGTAGTGAGATGATCATCATCATCTTTTACAAGGAGGATTACGACCAAACTATTACGAGAACTCATTGTTTCCCGACTTCGTATCACTGCCATTTCACAGCCACTCATTGCTGCTGTTGCTGTGTACAGAATTCCAATCCAGAAGGGTTCCAGAGGACGGAAACGGTTTGTCTTCTTCAGAGTTGCTTTGTTTTACTTCGTCAATCTATCTTTAATTTCTTTTCAAATAAGAGTAATATGGATATTGGAGTTTTTTTATTATTTATTTTTATTTGATTAAATGGGTGTGAATAGAAATTGGGGGACTATGAATGGAAAAAGTTGACAAATGTAAGTGAGATTAAAGAAAAAGAGATTCTATTTAGTGTCCATATTAATAAATACAATTCCTAAATTAAACATGCAACCATGCCTCAATATTACTTTAAACATTCATAGCCCATTTGGTAGCACGAAAATCGGATGATTTGGCTGATGCTGCTGAAATTAATGAAGTTCAGGCTGAAGTGACCGCATTGGTTGATTTTGCTGATTTAAGTAAAAAATACTTTTAAAATATATTTTATTAATAAAATAAAGAAAAAGCTATATGTAAAAATAGCTAAAATGGTCATCTACTGTAACTTCAGCCAATACAGCCATAAAAGTAATTATAATCTTACTTTTTCTATTGAAAAAATGGCATGGAAATTACTAATTGACTTTGCATTTCCAAAAATATGACCCATTTTATATTTTCAAAAATAGAAATTACTTCAAATAGGACTAAAACTATGACAAAAACTCAAAATAGGACTTGCTATGTTTTTTTTCCAAAATAGGACCATAGTGATCCTATTGGAAACATACTCATTTCTTCCTTCCATTCTTACCCCTCCTTTAAATATTAGTAAAAGATAGCTAAAAGTCATAAATAAATGTTTAATTCATAATAAATTCGAAAAAATTTCAATAATTCGTAGAAAAATAATAAAAAAATTAATAAATTTTTTTATAAAATAATTTTTTTTTTAATTTTTTTTTAAAAATTAATAAAAAATAGTAAAACTCCATAAAAAAAATGAAAAAAAATATGGATACGTTTCCCACCGCCTGTACTACCTCCCTGAACCACCACCTCCGATCGGTGTAAAAAATGCCACTTTTTTTTTTAAATTCCACAAAAATGGCATATTTCTCTATGAGAATGCCAACATTTTCATTCAGCCAACTTGAATCCTTTTGACTTTTGCCAAAAATATGGCATTCATAATTTTTTTGGCATTTTTTTACCCCGGTGACAGGAGGTGGTGGTACCGCCTCCCTGCACCACCACCTCCGACCGTTAAAAAAAAATGTCATATTTCCTACAAACTTCCATTTTTTTCGGAAAATGCCAAAAATATTGCATATTTCTCTTTGAGAATGCCAACATTTTTTTTCTTCCATCTTAAATCATTCTGAATTATGCCAAAAATATGGAATTCATAATAAATTTGGCATTTTTTCCCCAAATGACTAGAGGTGGTGGTGCTGGGGCGGTATAGGCGGCGGTGACAAAAAAAAATATTTTTTTGATTTTTTTTTAATTTTTTTTATTTTTTTTATTTTTTATTTTTTTTTAATTTTTTTTTTAAATTTATTATTATTCAGAATATTTTTATTAATTTTTTGGTATATTTTACGAATTTTTATTATTTTTTATTATTTTATAAGGGTATATTTGTCCAAGACAAACATAATTAGTCCTATGGAAACATAGTTTATTTTTTGGTCCTATTTGTGCAAAGTGAATGACTTTTAGTCCTATTTTGATAATTAACTCTTTCAAAAAAGGTGACAAATCCCCCATAGATCCTACGCAACTCGTCGTTTTCTCCCCTCCCCCTGCGCATCTATTCGCACAGGCCTCAAACTCTCCGCGCCTCAAACGGCCGACAATCCATCGTTTTCTCCCCTCCCCTTGCCAAACGGCCGGCCTCACCTCCACCTCGCCGCGCCTCAAACTCTCCGCACAGGCCGCCTCTTCCTCAGCCTCGCCGCACACGGCAACTCCGCCTCAGCCTCGCCGCACAGGGCCACTCCGCATTAGACTCAGCCTCGCCTCAGCCTCATCGTACAGGCCATCTCCGCCTCGCCTCGCTTCGCTTCATAGGCCGCCTTCGCCCCGCCTCGCCTCAGATGGATGGATGGTCAGATCTGAGATCGCGACCAGCAACGGCCAGATCTGAGCGATGGTGGTGGCTAGAAATCAGTTGGGGTGGTCAGGGTTGAGCTTGGTTGTCGAAGGTGGGGATGAGAAGGGCTAGGGGGCTAGGGGCTGGGTTGGGATCTGGTGTGTAGAGCTATGGTAGGGGAGGGGGCTGTTGTTCGGGGGCGCGGTGGCTGTTGTGCACAACGGAGAATGGGCGGCGGCAATGGCCGGTGGAACGGCGGTGGATGGTGACGGGCAAGGGCGGCGGTGGCAGCTTTGGCTAGGTAGCAGGATGGGCAGAGTGTTGTTGGTGGTGGTAGGGCGGCAAAAAACTTTTCGGCGCAATGACCGGTGGGCGGTCAGTCACTATGGTCGGAGTCACTGAGCAGTGGTGGGGACAATCACTAGCCAGTGGACGGTCAGTCACTATGGTCAAAGTCGGTCACTGTCTGTGGCTGGCGGCGGTCACTGACAAGGGGAGGCGGCGATCACTGACGAAGGGAGGCGGCGGTCACTAACGAGGGGAGGCAGCAGTCAAGGCGGTGGCGGCAGTCACTGACGAGGGGAGGCGGCGGTCACTTATCAGGGCGGCGGCAGTCACTGGACGGGATGGAGGCAGTCACTGACGGGACGCCGGCAGTCACTGGACAGGAGCAAGTCACTGAGCGGCGGTCACTATGACCGGAGCAAATCACTACGCGGTGGTGCAGCAAGACTGCTGGCGACGCCGGTGGTAACAGTGGCGGTTGCTGTGAATGGCGGGAGAAAATCTTTCCTATTTTTTAGTATTAAAATTCATTATCATTAAAAGATATACCTGGTGTTAAACGGATTGCTGTGCAACCGATTAATGCCCTTCTACCTGGGTGTGTGAACGGTTTAGTGTATAATAGTTGCAGTCATATATTTGGATTTTTGAAACTTAACTCACTTTATTAGAAATCCATTAATTAATACTACGTAGTAATATATGAATAAAAAGGCCTTTTTTGTTTATTACACAATTCAGCGCGCGAAAGCAAAAGTTACGTGTTTGGTGAAAAAGTTGGCTGATAAGCCATAAGCCGAAAAACGGTGTTATCAAACGGCCTCCTAATCTAAACTTAATTCAATCTGCAGCCGTGCCTCAATATACTACCTCCGTCCCTAATAAAACTTCCAATTACGGGTTACGCAGTTTGACCAGCGATAAAGTTAAATGATCCCTGTGAAAACTCGGATTATTTTTAGTAAATAAAATTTACATATTCAGAAACTACATTAAACCCGCTACAAAGCCTGCAAAAAATAATTCAATTTTTATAAATTTTTGATATATAAAGTAAGAGTTTAAGTGTGATTTAAGTTGACTCTCGAAAAACGAAATGGAAGTTTATTTAGGGACGGAGGGAATAATATTATAGGCATGCGTCACACACTCTGAAGCACTCCGCCCATCATTGATTTATTATACAGAAGCACAATTTTTTTTTTGGGTAAACAGAAGCACAATTTTCAACATGCATACAAAGAAGAGGCCATAAACGCTCATAATCTATCATATCCTTCCCCTCTTAAATCACAATTTCCAAAGAGAAATTTTTTCAAAAAAAAATCCAAAGAGAAATGGTCATAAGTAGGAGTTAAAATGTCTATATATACTTAAATAGGACTCCATCTTTTTTAACTCGTAAATAAGACTTCATTTTTTCTTTATTCCAAAACTGCCCCTATTTCCTAACTTTATCTTTCCTCCACGAGATTCCTTCCCTCGTCCACAATCTCGCCAAACAGTCTCTCTCACTCCTTCCTCTATAGCTATAGCAGGCTGGCAGCTTTAAGATCCAACACCATACGAAACAAAGAAGGAGTTGATTGTTATTTGTACTGGTGTATTGGTGTTGTAGATGTGGTGATCGAGACAGATAAGATACGGCGATATGGCAGCGTGGCACCGGCGGCTCAACAGAGAAAACTTAGAAAACGCAGCGGCGCGGCGGCTGTGGTGGGATGCCTTGTTGCGTTCTCTTCCCCCCTCTTCTTCTTCCTCTTCTTCTACTTCTCTTCTTCTTCCCCTTCTTCATCTACTTTTTCTCTTCTTCTCTTGGATAGATCTGGGAATTTTTTCTCTTGGTTAATTAGATCTCGGAATTGTTCGTTGGCTGCTCCTTTACTGACCTACGTGATGTGTTTTTTGGGAACTTATTGGTTTTTTATTGTTTTTAATATACCATGCGCCTGTTTCAATTCAGTGGTTCCTTTCAATCTATTTTATTGTTTTGTTGAATGGTATTCTACTTGTTTATGTAATTTCTTTTTTTGAGTTATAGCTTTTTTATTTTTTTATTTTTCTATTAAATATTTTTAGATAATATTTTATTCAAATGCCATTGTTAATGTAACACTTTGATGTGTATTATTAGATAAATTTTACAATGATATCAACATGGTCACATAATTCATAATAGCTATGTTGATAAATGATTTTAACATTCTGACATTTTGTAATATATTGACATTCTTTTCAAAACAGTTTGATTCTAATGACATTGTTGTTATTTCACATTGTCACAATATTAATAATGACATTGTTACAATGTCATTTCTTTTATAACATTCTCATTGACATTGTATCTTTGTTACAATGTCATTTTTTATAACATTGTGCTTGACATTGTTTTTTCTTAAAATTTTGATACTGTTAACACTATTGTAACATTGTTTGTTTTGGAATTGTTTACAATTATAATACATGACATTGTGAAATTTTCTAATATCAATGTTGACATTGTAAAAGTTTTCTGATTTCAATATTGACATTGTAATATTCACGATGTCATTTTTCACAAAGTTCACAATGACATTCATTATTGTCATTGTTTCAATGTCATTTTAATATCATTGTCATTAACATTGTAGTATAACATTGTTATTGACATTGTGAGTATAACATTGTCATTGACATTGTGAATATAACATTTGTCATTTTTCATACTATTGATATTTAGAGGACTAATGGCGAGGTCGCCGGAGGAGCAGTGGCGGAGATCGCCGGAGGACCAGTGGCAAAGGTCACCGGAGGAACAGTGGCGGAGGTTTCCAGAGGACCAGCTGCGAGGCCGCTGCGTTCAGAGAACCGGCGGCAGCCGGCCATGAGGTCGCTGGATAAGCTATGGCGGCGGAGTTTGTTGGAGGACCGACGTCGGAGGTCGTCTTTGGTGGCATAGGTCTTTGTGGTATTGGCGACAGAGGTCTTGGGAGGACTGGCGGCGGAGATCCGGCAGGCGGCGGAGATCCGGCGGCGGAGGTCAGCGGAGGTCCGGCAAGCGGCGGATGTCTAACGGCAGCAGGTGGCAGAGGTCCGGTAACTGTGGGCGGCGAGGTTCAGGGTGATAATCGGTGGTTTATTCTAAGGCGTAACTATTTTTCTTCTCCAACAAGCTTCTTACAAGGTGGGGGTATTTTTGTCTCTTAACATGAAAGTAGTCCTATTTAAGAGTAAAAAAGTGTTGACTCCTATTTAAGTTCCGTGCTTATGTATTACTCTTATTCAGGTCTTTTCCCCATTTCCAAACATACATTAGTTAACACGACAAGAGTCAATGAAGATCAGGCTTACTACATAAATACAGAAAATTACCGTAAAACTTCATCACTTTCCCAACCGATGACCTAGTTAGTTGGTTGTTTCTCAACATAATACTATCTCCGTCTCATTTTAGTTAGTCATCTTTGATTTTTTTAGTCAAAGATGTTGAACTTTGATCAATTATTAAACTAAAAATTTTATGCGAAATTTATTGATTTTTTTATTTTATGATAGTCTTTTTTACAAAGAACGTTTTGCATATTATGAATACTTTTTTATATGAATAGTGAAGTTTGTGTATTAAACCGTTAATACTTGTATAAACTTGAAAGTTAGTTTTCGTTAATATGTACTATCGTATTTGGTAATTATATCTGAAATGTCCATATGAGTTGCTTACTTGCTTGGGTGTGGTATGAATGATTATTGTCTGTGTGTGGTTGAAACATTGTTTATATGTTTCTTTATTTTGTTTGTGAGAAGTCGAAGCATCGTCTATATCATTTTCTATATTGTTTGTGCAAGACAAAAACATTATATGTGTTTCATTTATTTTGCCTGTGTGTAGATAATAGTTGTTTGTAGGGCCAGGTCCGAAAAACCGAAAACCGAAAACAGAATCAAATTATACCGAACCATAGCCAAATAAAATCGAACCACTAACAAACCGAAACTGAATGTAAAAAACCAAACCGAACCGTAGTTGTTTGGTTCGGTTTTGGTTTTTACCTTTCAAAACCGAACCGAACCGAACAAACCGCACTAATTAAAATATAAAATTTATTTTTCAATTGTTAAGCATTAATCCTAACTAATCCTAATATCATTAATAATCTTTGATTTTCTTGTGCTAGAGAAATAATATTTGTGATATGTTTAGTTTAGTTTATAAATTCATTTACACATTCATTGCCTCTAATAATGTAGATATACCGAATGATGCATGATAATATGTTTTTACTAGTTATTAGTATTAATTAAATTTTATTTTTATTTAACTTAAAGAATTCATATTGATGAAACAATAAATATTCATTTCAACTATATCACATAAAACGTATACACTCATGAATTTTTTTGAACTAGTCACAAACAATGTAAATAATACTCTGTAATATATATACTTTTATCTTTCTCGCATACTCATATAATTCAAGGCATAATTATTTATTTTCATTTTTATTTTATTTGTTGTAGTGTGCTTGCATTCTTTATGTAATATGTTTAATCCCTCAAAGTATTATATCAATTTAAATCAAATGATAATTTTTTGGTAAAAAACCGAAAAAACCGATTCTGAATCAAAACAAACCGAACCAATCAAACCGAACCGAAAAAACTTTTCGAAAAGTGCATCAAATACGGTCTATTCGAAAGTGCATCGGATAGGGGTTATTGTGCATCAGATCGACACTTTGGACGGCTGAGATTAATTCTCATTTTACACGTTAAGATGTCTTCTCATTTGAACCCATCCCTATACACACACACACACACACATATATATATATATTCATACTTTTCCATTGAGCTACTTATTTTCTTTCCATGCTTGATTAGACTCCACTTATTAATATAGTCTAATGATTTATGGAAAGTATTCTTGCTATCTTTATATTGATGGAACGTAGCTTTTGAATTTGCTAAGAAAGGGGTTGTCTTGCTTAGAATATTAAATAAACATTTATGCTACATTACTAAGGATACGTAATAAATGAACCATTTATGAGATCAATGATTTGCTTTATGAAATCATTTGCTTTTTCAAATAAATATTTCTTACCATACCAATTAAATTGACATCCATGATTGAATTCTTAAATAGTCATTTTTGAATGGACCGTTGCTATCTTATTATGGTAAGTGATTAACCTTGTTTCCTTGTAATACTTATTACTCTTAATCATATGTGAGTTATGATTCACACGAGATCATTGACCCAAAGCTCAAGATGAAAAGATCTTCAAAGGTTAACAAGGCAAGAATCTTTATCAAAGGGAAGGATACTCAAACAGTCTGATTGAGAGAGCCTATATAATCGAAGCAGCCAAAAAGAAATGTGTGTGCTTGGCTGAGAAAAATACTAAGAGACGTATATGAGACAAATCCCAAGTCAAGGCATCTGAACCTGCGCTCGGAGTTCTAGATAGAGTTCTTATTCCCTTCTTATATTGTAATTGGGTTATTGAGGACGAGCTAAGTGTAGCTTCCTCGGGTTGGGTAACGCGTGTTGTGAGAGCTTTGTTGTAAAGCTGAGAGGCTCTCTACCCGCAAGGTAGAGAAGCATAACTCTTCCTAGAGAGGATAGAGTTGGGGTGGCTCAAGGGTAGACTAGGAGAGTTTCCCTTGTAATCATTCAAAGGCTTTTTAGTGAAATTGTTAAAATTCCTTCGAGGGAGGTCGAGGTTTTTTAATCCCTTTGAGCAAAGAGATTTTTCCTCGTTAAATCCTTGTGCACTTTACTTTTTCGCAATTCTTGTTACCCCACACTAGAATTTGGCGAAAAACTGTCACGGTTCCACACACACACAATTCACTCCCACACATCAATTGGTATCAAAGCCAGTCTTCACCACATAGGGGTTAATACCTTGGGAAGAGATCCGGCAAAATGAATATGGTTGAACGATTGGAAGAAGGGTACACGACTCAACGACCACCATTGTTTAATGGCAAATACTATCAGTTCTGGAAGAGTCGGATGGAGAACTTTATCAAAGCCGATAATTATCAGGTATGGAATGTGATAGAAGGTGGCGACAACGTCATCACAAAGCTAAACGGCGAAGGTAAAGTTGCTCCTAAACCTAAAGCTGAATTTACTACTGATGATTATCAAAACCTCGAGCATAATGCCCAAGCTCTTAAATATTTGATTTGTGGTCTTGGTCTGCTGAACACAACCGTGTTCTAGGATGTAAGACTGCAAAGAGAATTTGGGATTTGTTCGAGGTTACTCATGAAGGTACCTCACGTGTAAAAAAATCTAAAATTGACATATTTATGCGTAATTATGAATTATTCGTAATGAAGCTTGGAGAGTCAATTAAGGATATGATTACACGTTTTACTAAGATCATCAATGAGCTTTCAGCCCTTGGAAAGAAAATTACTGTGGAAGATCAAGTGAGAAAAATCTTGAGAAGCTTGCCCTCAGTATGGAAGCATAAGACCACGGCTATTGAGAAAGAAAAGGACCTATCCACCATGACTCTTGAAGACTTGACCGGTTCACTCATGACATATGAATTAGGACTTCAAGAAGATCAAGACGTTGAGACTGTAAGGCGAGAGAGAGAGGAATTGCTCTAAAAGCTCGAGAAGAGGAGGAAGAATCCGAAAGTGAATCGGAAGATGAGATGAGCATATTTGCTAAACAGTTTGGGAAGATGTACCGTCGGTTCAAAAACAACAGAAACAAACAAGGTAAAAATAACTTTCAATCTTTTAATAATCAAGGCTTTTTTGTTTGTGGTTCCTTCGAGCACAGGGCAAAAGACTGCCCACAAAAGATGAAAGATCGAACCTATGACAAGAACAAGTTCAGTTCTAACCAGAGGTCCAGCAAAGACAAAGGGTTCAAAAAAGATCTCAAAAAGACAATGATGGAAGCCTGGGGAGACTCATCCGATGACGAATAAGAGGAGAATGATAAAAACTCTAACCATACAGGTTAGAGTTTTTCGTCCATAAGAACTTCGGCCATTATGGTTAGAGTTTTTATCACTCTCCTCTTCTTCGTCATTGGATGAGTCTCCCCTGGCTTCCATCATTGTCTTTTTGAGATCTCTTTTGAACCCTTTGTCTTTACTGGACCTCCGGTTAGAACTGAACTTGTTCTTGTCATAGGTTCGGTCTTTCATCTTTTGTGGGGAGTCTTTTGCCCTGTGCTCGAAGGAACCACAAACAAAACAGCCTTGGTTATTAAAAGATTGAAAGTTATTTTTACCTTGTTTGTTCCTGATGTTTTTGAATCGGCGGTAAATCTTCCTAAACTGTTTAGCAAATATGCTCATCTCATCTTCCGATTCACTTTCGGATTCTTCCTCCTCTTCTCGAGCTTTTAGAGAAATTCCTCTCTCTCGCCTTACCATCTCAACATCTTGCTCTTCTTGAAGTCTTAATTCATATGTCATCAGTGAATCGGTCAAGTCTTCAAGAGTCATGGTGGATAAGTCCTTTGCTTCCTCAATAGTCGTGGTCTTAGGCTTCCATACCGAGGGCAAGCTTCTCAAGATTTTTCTCACTTATCTTTTACAGTAATTTCCTTTCCAAGGGCTGAAAGCTCAATGATGATATTAGTAAAACGTGTAATCATATCCTTAAGTGACTCTCCAGGCTTCATTATGAATAATTCATAATTACGCATAAATATGTCAATTTTAGATTTTTTTTACACGTGAGGTACCTTCATGAGTAACCTCGAGCAAAACCCACATTTGCTTTGCAGTCTTACATCCTAGAACACGGTTGTGTTCAGCAGGACCAAGACCACAAATCAAGTATTTAAGAGCTTGGGCATTATGCTCGAGTTTTTGATAATCATCAGTAGTAAATTCAGCTTTAGGTTTAGGAACAACTTTAACTTCACCGTTTAGCTTTGTGATGATGTTGTCGCCACCTTCTATCACATTCCATACCTGATAATTATCAGCTTTGATAATGTTCTCCATCCGACTCTTCCAGAACTGATAGTATTTGCCATCGAACAATGGTGGTCGTTGAGTCGAGTACCCTTCTTCCCATCGGTCAACCGTATTCATTTTGCCGGATCTCTTCCCAAGGTATTAACCTCTATGTGGTGAAGACCGACTGTGATAGTAATTGATGAAACGGTTAGCAACACAAGATGGGGGTGAATTGTGTGTGTGTGTGGAACCGTGGCAGTTTTTCGCCAAGTTCTTGTGTGGGGTAAAGGGAATTGTGAAATAGTAAAGTGCACAAGGATTTAACGAGGAAAAATCCCTTGGCTCAAAGGGATTAAA